TCTACGTCCATGCCATCCATCTTGGGCCGTAGCTGGGGCACCCTATCGGGCACGGAACGCGCGAGGGGTGCGTCAGTACGGTCCAGTCCGCTGTCTGCGTCCGTGCCCTCTGGGTCCTGATCGGGGCTTGATTTCGGGCAAGGTAACTTGTAAGGGGTACGCCAGAGCAGTCCAGCCCCTGTGAGCGTCCTAGCCAACTGGAGCCAAAGCTGGGCCTCCGTATGGAGCACGCAGCGTGTGAGGTGTGGTCTGAAAAAAGTATGGTGCCTGCATGTGTCTTTGACTACCAGGGTCGTAGCTGAAGCCCCCTATGGGGCACTAGTGCCCAAGTAGTGATGATGATGACGGCGACGGCACGTGATGGCAGAGAGAAGGCGAGGACGAAGAAGGACGGTAAGGGTGTGATGTGCGAGCGCTGTGAAACTGAGAACGAGGACCCAACGACTCCCAGTCGGTTCAGTGAATAGTGGCAAGTTCACCTGCTGCCTCATATGACTTCCTCCACCCATGTGCTCTAGAAGCACACCGACGAAAAAAAGCACGTCTGTGCCTCTCAACCAACGCTGATAGCATAGACGCTGGAGGAAGTAGGGATGGAAGGGTGAAAAGGAGGAAGGACAAGGGAGGAACACAAGTAAGACGGAACAAGATAACAGGAAAGGCATGAGGGATGAGGTGAGGAGGAGAAAAAATGGAGAGGAGAGAGGAAGACGGATAGAAGGAGAAAAAGAAGGAGGGAGGCATCAAGAGAGGGCGGAGAAGGATGAGGAATAGGTAGGATGATGAGGGGAAGAGGGAGGAAGAAGGAGGAGGAAGAAAATGATGAAGAATTCGCCGGCCCAACGGGCCAGAGGCGTGCTAAGATCTCTGGTAACAGGTTAACAGCATTTCTTGTTCGCGCGCGCGTGGCGGCCCCTGGGGACCCCTGGACGAAAAGTACCCCGGCCGATGCCAGGCTGACTCCCCCAGGGCGCTCCAGGAGCGCGCCAAGAGGGCGCCGGGACGCCCCCTACACGGCCCAAGAGGCCCCGAGTCGCCGAAAGATCGCTCCAAAATGCTCAAGATGGTCTCCAGATGACCCCAGAGGCCGCGAAAAAGCCCAGAGAGAGCCTCAAGAGGCTCTCCAAGAGGGCCCCAACAAGCAAAAATCGTCCCATTTCCTCCCGGAAACGTACATTTTTCGCATGCGCGACGTTCGGGGGTCCACAGCGTCCAGAACTGCCCCAGAGGCCTCCAACATCGTCCCCAGACGGCCCAACACGCCCCCAAGATGGGCCCAACAGAGCCCAGGAGGGCCCCAAGACGGCCGAAGAGGGCACCAAGACGGCCCAAGAGGCGCCCAAGAGGGCCCCGTAACGGCCCCAAGAGGGATCCAAGAAGAGGACCAGGAACCGAGAAGTTCAGCCTTCAGCCCCAAGTGGCCCCCAGGAGGCCCCAAGAGGCCCTCAAAAGGTCCCAAGGGGCCCACGAGGGGCACCCCAAGAAGCCCCAAGAGGCCCCAACACGGCCCCCAAGAGGCCTAAAAACTGCCTCCCAGAGGCCCCCGAGAGGTCAACCATGAGAGCCCAACCAACATCCATGAGGCCTCTGACAAACCACCCACCGCCTCCAAAAAATGGCAGCCGCCCAACGGCACCGCATTGACAACAACTCCCCACAAACGACAGCGGCGAGGTAACATGGGCCGGCAGAATGGGCTAAGCGGTTATTAATAATATGTTTCATAATAAGAATCATACTAATACGAATACTAATAATCAAAATACAAATAATCATAATAACAATCATAATAATAACGCTACTACTAATATGATTAAAAATACGAACAACAACAACAACAACAACAACAACAACAACAGCAACAACAACAACAACAACAGCAGCAACAACAACAACAACAGCAACAGCAACAACAACAACACACAACAACAAGGATGATAATGATAATGACTACATTCATACTGAACATGAAAATGCTAATGCGAATCATCGTACTAATAATCATAAAAACAACGACGACAACAATCACAACAACAACAACAACCACAACAACAACAGCAGCAGCAACAACAACAATAACAACAACAACAACAACAACAACAACAACAACAACAACAACAACAACAACAACGACGGCAATAAGAAGAAGACGAATAAGAATAATAATAAACTTAATAGTACCAATAAGATTAATATTCAGGATAAGCCAGAAAGAGAGGGATACGAAGGAGGGAGGGACGGAGGGAGGGAGGCAGGGAGGGAGGGAGGGGAGAAGATGAAGGATAGAAGATGAAGGATAGACGAAGGGGGGAGGACGAGCGAGCAGGAACAGGGAAGGGGAAGGAAGGAGGAGGGAGGGGGAGGGCGGAGGGAGGGAGGGAGGGAGGAGGGAGGGAGGAAGAGGTGGGGGAGCGGCATGGACAAAGAGTCGGGGGAAGCACGGAGGGACGGAAGAAGGGAGGGAGAACCCTGACATCCGCCCATCTGACCTTCTCAATCCGCGGCCCCGGAGCTCCTGGCCCCTTCCCTGGGAGCGGCTGTTCGTCCCGGAACACCTTTGATGGTCCCCGAGGCCCGATAAAACGGGCCCCAGGGGCCGGCCGGTATCGGGGAAACGCCCGCATCGACAAAACACTTTTTGTCGGCGGGGCGAGAGCGAACCTCTTCCGCTAAAAACTAGGCGGGCTACGCGCAGCTTTCATTAGGGAGACAGGGCGCAGGAAGGCGGGGCCTCACCGCATCGACAAAACACGCGTCGTCGGAAGTGCCGGGGAGTGCGGAGAAGCATGAGGGCGGCAAGGCTTCGGGCGGCGCAGAGGAAGCCCCCCCAGGCAGTCCCTACAGGGGGATTTTCGGTGAAAACTAGAAAGTACTTTAAAAAGTGTTCCAAAATGGTCACCAAATACTCGAAAAATAGTCCCCAGACTATTGTTTGACTATTTTTGAATATTCCCCCTGTAGAGAGACAGGCCCGACTCAAGCTTACGCTGTCTTCCCTTCGTCGAGAGGACGAGGAGCAAGGGGGGGCGAGGCGAGGTAAGCGCGCCATGTCGGTCGGGCGGGACTGGCCCCACGAGGGCGGCACGGCAGGGCCAGGGCCCTCAGGAGACGCGTTGTGAGCAGGAGTCGGAGTCGCTGGCGTCGTCGTGAAGAGGAGCGAGTCAAACGTTTTGAAGATGGGGGGGGGAGGAGGAGGAGGAGGAGGAGGAGGAGGAGGAGGAGGAGGAGGAGGAGGAGGAGGAGGAGGAGGAGGCACAGCGTCGGGCTGGGGAGGAGGAGAAGGAGGAGAAGGAGGAGGAAAAGGAGGAAAAGGAGGAGAAGAGGAGGAGAGGAGGAGGAGGAGGCGGAGGAGGAGAAGGCGGCAGAGCGCGCTCCGCACCTTGACCCGGAGGGCCGCGGACTCCGAGAGAGCCTCCGAGGCGAGCGGCGGCCGAGCGGCGCGCCGCAGGGCGGCCCTACGAAAAACCGCCGCGGAAGGGCACCGCGCGGAAAGGCAGGGCCTGCGGCGCGCGAGGTCGGCGCGCGGGGTCCGCCGCCCCGCCTGCGGCGGGCAGCTTTTTGCCGGCGTCTTCGTCGCTTTTGTCTGCGCTCGGGCTTCGAGGCCTGCGGGCGCTCTCGTCGGGGCTCGTCTGACCCGGGCCAGCCCAGGCCCGGGTCAGCCAGGCCTCGCAGAGTCCTGCAAGACCCTGCAGGATCCTGCACCCGAGCCCGGGCCCGTGCCGAGGATCCTGCAGGACCCTGCAGGACCCTGCACCCAAGCCCGGGCCAGTGCGACCCTGGCCCTGCAGGATCCTGCAAGATCGGGGGCTCTGGCGGACCCCCCGATCTCGGCGGCGCTCGTCGGCCTTCCGGCCTCGGGGCGCCTTGACCGCGGCCGCGCCCCGCCGAGAGCGCTCCGGGGGCGCCCGGGTGATCCCGAGCTGCCGCCGGGGGCCAGAGTGACGACCCCGAGAGCAAAGGGGGCTGCTGCGGGCAGGATGCGTACCCGTGTGCACGGCGTCTCGGATGTGTCTGGGGGTTCAGGACGGGGCAGGGGCCGCGTACCTGTACGACGCGGTGGCAGCAGCAGAGGGAGCACGTTGGACCCATGCTCGGCGGAATGTCTACCCATGGGTACGAGGCCCCCCCGAACTGCAAGAGTGCGAGGCGGAAACACGGAACGCAGAACGACAGTGAAGCAAAAAACAGAACACCCCACGACTGCGAAGCAGAACAACAAAGCACAGGAGGAGGAGGCGGTGAGAGGGGGAACAACCCGAGACGCAATCGATATGTAATGCTAGAGACGAGAGTTCTATCCGTATTCACGGCGTCTTGGATGTTGAATCGAGGGAGGTGATGTCTAAAGCCCGAGGCGCAGTGGATATGAATTGCTGGAGGCAAGGTTTTATCCATATCCGTTGCGTCTCGGGTTTCTGGGACAGGGAGTGCGAAAATCGTAAGCACAGTAGATACGTACGACCTTGCCCGCAGCTGCTGCCGAAGGCAAACAAAATTGCACGACCCGAACTATTTCGATGAGGGTGTCAGGCGGGGCGGAACGGATGCGGGGCCGTCCTTGCCAGGGCGTGGCTGCTGTCGATCTCGGCAGGGGTTGGGTTCGAGAGCTCGGGATACACACCACACGATACGTGCACAGGTCAAGGCACGCACACATGGCACGGTGGCGAGCAGTCGACGTCAACCACAGCGGTAGCGGATATGCGCGGCAGCGCAAGTGAACTTCCGCTCCATTGAGGAGAAGAAAAAACTGCACAAACATACAATTGTTGGAGGTCCGCGCAGATTTGTCGGATCGGCGCGGAGCGCCTTGTCCAAATTGAGGGCGGCCAACTAGGCTCAGCTTCGGGTTGCCTCTGGCAGACAGCTGACCTTGTTGAGGAAATAGTTCACGTCGAGGATCGCCTCGATCGGGTTCACCTTAACGCACAGCGCGCCTGCGCCGCCCATGGTGCGGTCGGCCGGCATCGCGGACCCGTCCACGTCGCGGCAGTCGACTATCATCGGCTCGTGGATGTCGATATTGTCGTCGAGGAAGAGCTGCTGGGTTCGGCGGCGAGCCCAGGGGGAAAGTGAGAAGGGGCGGGCCTCCTCAGAGGGCTCGGAAGTCCCCTGGCCTTCTGACAGGTTTTCTAAGCCTTCCCCGAGGACACAGAACTTCCCAGAAGGCCGGAGGGCTTCTGAGAAGCCCCGCCGCTTTCTAAGCAGCCTTCTGCTTCTCGCTTCTCCCTTTCGCTCGCCGCCGATGGGTGGGCGGCCCTGGTATCAGCGTCATCAGCTTGCCGAACTCGCCCACCTGCCGGTGGTACGTCCACCAGGCCCAGTCGTCCTTCCACGAGCGACGAACATGCCCAGCATTCGCCCCCCTCGACAGGTCTGGATCCCTCGACCGCCGCCGACGCTTGGCGCCAGTGCCCGACGTCTGGCGCCAGTGCGTGTCCGCGGGATCGCGGTCACACATGCAGACCGCGAGAGCAAGGATTTGGAAACGGCAGGTTCGCGTCGTGCCGACTTCGGCGTCGCTTGCTCACACCGCGGGGATCGTTCAACCTTGAACGATCAGCCGTTTCCGAAACGACAGATCGTTCAACATCAATCGATTCTGAGTCGCCAGCGGCGTTCAACGTGGAACGCCGGCGCTGGGGTCGGCGCCGATCAACACGACGCGAACCTACCGCATACGTGGAATCGCGGTTACACGTCCAGACCGCAAGGGCACGGATTTGCATCACTGATGGTAGCTTTAGATCGGGCATGTCCCCCTACAGGCGGATGTGAGAGAAAAAACAAAAAATGTCAAACAAAAAAATACTCCAAAATGGTCAAGCAATTATCGAAAAATCGCTCCCGGACTATGGTCTGACTTTTGGGGGATCTTCCTCCTGTAGAGGGACAGGCCCGACTTCAGGCTACACGTCCAGACCGCGAGAGCGCATGGATTTGCATCACTGATGGCAGCTGCGATCGTCGCCCATGACATCCTTGATGCCCGCGGTCCCCTCGGAGGCGAGGTGGTGGCACATCCACTCCTGGACGCCGGCGAACCCTTCCACGGTCTCGGCCCGCAGCACCTCCCTGACGAACCGGCGCCCGTCGCGCGTGTCCCCCTCGGGCCTCGGCTGCCCACCCTCCTCCTCGCGCCTCCTCCTCCTCCTCCTCCTCCTCCTCCTCCTCCTCCTCCCTCCTCCCTCCTCCTCCTCCTCCTCCTCTCTCCTCTCTCCTCCCTCTCTCTCCCTTTCGTTTTCCATTTCCTCCTCCCTTCCTCCTCCTCCTCCTCCTCCTCCTCTCCTCCTCCTCCTCCTCCCTCCTCCCTCCTCCGCCTCCACCTCCTCCTCCGCCTCCTCCTCCTCCTCCTCCTCCTCCTCCTCCTCCTCCACACCTCGCCACCCTCCTCCCACAACACCTAGTACGCCTGGAATCCTTTAAAGCACACCAAAGACATGTGAAGTAATCCATCTTATATGCTCCTCTCTCCTTCTTCCCTCCCACCCTTTCCCTCTGGGGAAAACAAAAAACGGATCCTCCTCTGAACCCTACCAGATGTACTCTCTAGGAGCCACCAAACCTCGGGTACCATCCAGACCACTCAAGCCTCTAGGCTGCAAAACCTCTTTCAGAGTTGGGGGGGGGCTGGTGGGCAGAGGTGGAGGAGGAGGGGTGCGGAGGTGGGTGGAGGAGGAAAAGGACGAGGAGGAGAAAGAGGAGGAGGAGGAGGAGAGCAGGAGACGGAGGAGGAGGAGGATAATCCGCATTGTCATGATATGTCATGGTTTGTGCACATTGGACGCAACTGCGACGGAATGCCCACATTCCAGCCCACAGGACAGCCCCAGCTGTGTCAACAAAAAAATATAACGCACATTGCCTTCATATTGTCGTGCGCCCTTGTCCGAGTCTCCACGTTCCCCCGCTGCGTCACAATCATCGTCATGTTCAGCAGCGGCATAATCTGAGAAGTCTCACCCACAAGGCCAACGGCATTTCCACCAGCCCTCTGGGCGACAGGTGGTCTAACGAGGGTTTCTTTCCTCTTCCACAACCGATATTCCTTTCGGGGAGGGAACCCTCCCCCTCCCCTCCCTGCGGCTGTGTGGTAGGGGTTGCGAGGTGTCCGAAGGTCGTTTTTCGGCCCCTGAAAGGGCCAATTGTTGCCACCCCGCACGAGGATCGTGGACTCCGAGGGGGGGACGACATCGAATACCCCCCCCCCTCTTTTGACCGACCGCTTCCAAGATGGCCCCAAGAGGCCCTCCAGGGTTCCCAAGGGGCTCCCAAGGGGCTTCCAAGGGGCTCCCAAGAGGGCCCAAGGATCGCCCAAAGAAGCCCCAAGAGGCCTCCAAGAGGCACCCGAAAGGCACCCAGGAGGCTCCTGAGAAGCCTCAGATAGCCCAAGACGCCCTCCAAGATGGCTCAAGATAGCCCAAGCTGGCTCAAGATGGTTCCCATGATGCTCCAAGAGGCTCCAACACCGCTCCAAGACGGCTCGATATGGCCACAAAGCCCCCCAGGAGGCCGCAAAGAGGCCAACATCCTTCAAAAGCCTCAAGAAAAATAATGAAGTTGGTCTTCTCGCCTTTTTGTTTTCGGTGGCCTTCCGAAGCCTCAACACGCCGTCCAGGCCGGCCCCCCTGGCTGTTTGACTATGCGTGTCTCTTCCTCTCTCCCCCGTCAGCTCTCATGGGCATCGTTCCTGGATGGGCTGGTGGGGATATGTTTTTGCTGGTACGCGGACTCGCGAAGCAGGTCGAAAGCCGGGCAAAGCTAGGGCGGGCCGCGCCGAAGCAACAGGCTGATGGTGATATTGTTTTTGGTCAGCGGCCTCGTGAAGCGGGTCAAAAGGCGTCCAAGGCTAGCCGGGCCACGACTAGGCAGCGGAAGCGGCAAGCGGAAAAGCAAGACAGGCGCAGCGCAACCGCAGGCGAGAGCGCCAGTGGCGAGTAAGGTCCGAGCGGGCCGCGCAAGAGCCGAATTGCCTAACGCCGACGGGCCGGCGACCTAAGCAGCACCTAAGCGGGCGGGCCGGCGTGAGGGGGGGGGCGGGCTGCAGCTGCCAGGAACCAGGCCCAGGAGCGCGCACATGCACGATTACCAACCAGGGTTGGAGCGCAGCCAAAATGGCGCGGGGGTGGTACCAGGATGTGGCCAGGATGACCACCACCAGTACACTGCATCAGCTACCAGGAGACCATACTGGCCATAAACTGGTGCATAGGGTGGCGCCACCAAAGTCGCACACCGAGACTCCTGAAGGGAGTACTGATCCTGCATACAACCGTCCACGGGGTGATCCCAGGCGGTCCAGCACTGATGGGGATATTTATCCCACCAGCCCTCTGGGCGTAGGTGGTCTAGAGCAGATCCTCTTCCACCCCTCCCTCTTCCCCCTTGGGGAGGGGTTTACCCCTCCCCCTACCCCCTCCCCTGGACCTGGACGGGGGGGGCCGCGGGTAGTTAGAGCGTCCCAGATGGCCCAAGACGGCTCCAAGAGCGCCTCAGAGAACCCAAGATGAGCTCCAAGATGGCTCAAGATAGCGCAAGATCGCTCGAGATGGCTCCTAAGATGGTTCCAAGAAGCCCAAAGACGGCCCCAAGATAACTCCAAGTGGCCAAACAGCTCCCCAAGGAGGCCCCGAAGAGGCCAAAATCGTCCCAAAACCTAAGGAAAATCAATGATTTTTGCTTTCTCGCCTTTTCGCTTCCGATGGCCATCCGAGGCCTGGAGATGGCTCCAAGATGGCCCAAGAGGGCCCCAAGAGAGCCCCAAAAGAGCCCCAAGACGGCCCCAAGAGCGCCCAAGAGCACTCCAAGAGCGTTCCAAGAGGGGTCCAAGAGGCGATTTTAGGGGCTTCCGAGGGGGGACGCTAATTCACCCCCCCTCTTGTTTGATCGATCTCCTCCAAGATGGCCCCAAGAAGCGCCCAGGAAGCCCCAAGAGGTCCCAAGATGGCCCCAAAATGGCCCCAAGAGGCCCCCAAGAGGCCCCCCGGAGGCCCCCAAGAGACCCCCAAGAGGCCCCAAGAGCCCCCCCAGATGCACCCAAGATGCTCCAAGAGGCCTCGGCGAGAATGCCTAATCATTGATTCTACACAGGTTTTAGCCACATGGAGGCCTCTTGGGGGGGGGCACGGATTAAGATGACTCCAAGAGCGTCTGGGAGAGCCCAAAATGACCTCCAAGATGGCTCAAGATATCCCAAGATGTCTCATAATGGCTTCCTCTGTGTGCTGCCCACTTCTCTGATCGAGGCAATTCCTCTGGGCATCGTTTCTGGATGGGCTGGTGGGGATTCGCGAAGCGACAACAATTTGGTCGCAGCCGCAGGCGATAGCGCAAGCGGCGAGTCGTAAGTCCGGGGCGCGGACCTACTAACTGATGGGGATACGCGAAACGTCAAGAATGTGTTCCACCGACCGCAACGTCTGCGGGCCATCTGCTTATGGAGGAGGCGGGGGAGGTTTGCAGTTACTGGGAGAGGAAGATATTATCCGTACGTGCCCTTCCTTGTGCAGGTTCCTTTTTCACAGCATCCGCCAACGGCATGCGTTCTGGCAAAGCCTGGCTAGTCTGTCGTGCATCAACTTCGGTGGGTTCACGGTCGGTCGGCCACGCTCGTGATCTACAAGAAGTCAGCGCTTCACAACGCGAGAGGGTCTAACGAGGCGATCGCTACTTCCGGCGACGTCTTTCAACGTCGCACTGCCCATGTTTTCATTCCAGCTCAAGGCCACTACCTGCTGCGCCCACACTCGCGTCTAGCTCGTTGGTGCATGGTGCTTCCAGCAGTGGTCTCACAATCCGAAGTGCCGAGGGCAAATGCAGGGCCCGTATCACATTTCATCTCTAGACAACCACGTGTGAACCCTAGCCGAGCAGGCCAGATGTCTGAGCAACCCGCTGGGGTTCAGACTTTGAAGGATATCTGCACACGAGCGAACCCCAGAGAGGGTGTCCCACGTGGTCGCAGAATTTCATCGTCTCACCTTCCCGTGGCGTGTCGACAGCAGACGGCCGCGTCGACATCGGCACTTCACCAACCACCGCATCAGTATGTGTGTTTTGCACTTCTCGGGGATACTCGTCCAGCGGCATCGCAGTTTCAGTTACCATGACAGTGCCATCATCCCGCGCGTGCACCCCCGACCATGCTGCTTGGGCAACCCCGTTGGCGAGCAGCCCGCCGCCTAGCCTCATCAACGATGGGAGGGACAGCGCGCCGCGCATCGGGAGGATTCGTGAGAGGACGAGAGGATGAGAGGGGAGGATTTAGGAGCATCTACAAGCGCGCCATCGGTGGGAGCTAACACCGCTTCGAGATCCAAAGGGCCACGGCAGCTTGTCGTAGTGGCAGCTTGTCCAGAGCATAGGACGTCGTAGTGGTAGTCCTGTGCTGTCCTGCTCGCACACTGCTCAAGTGTGGAAGGTTGGGAGTGGTCTTGGGGAGAAGATGAGAGAAGAAGACGACGACTTCGACAGTCCTGCCAGTCTGCCCAAGTGCCGCCAGACGCGCACCCACGCACTAGCGCTACACACGTGTTCACTAAAGGTTGTTCGACTACTTCAGCGAGCATAATGTAATCGGCACTGCACTGGCCTGAATCGCACACATGCTAGACAAGGAGGTTGGAGTGGTTGCGACAGGCGTTGGTGGCCAGTGGTGTATGAACTAACGTTCGCCTCATTGCCATAACCAAAGTTATGATACACTTGCCCCTGCGGGCTTCTCCACTTTCTCGATTGTTCGTCGCACGTTCCGTTCCGCTTCGTCTACGCGAAGAAGGCTAGATATCGAGTTTAACATTGCGCGTGCGTTCTGAAGATTGCCAAAAGGTCGGAATGATATGACGCAACGGCTCACGCTAGCCTACGCTGGTGCGGCGCAAAGGGAAAAGTAGGAGGAGGAGGACGACGAGGAGGACGAGAACGACGAGGAGGTTCGCATCTTCCCTCCTCCTCTTTCCTCCTCCTCCTCCTTTGTCCCGCCGCTCCCCCTCCTAGCCTGGGCTTGCTCCGCGCCCACGAATCCCACGGCGCGTCCTTGGGCCACGCACACCAAGGAGGAGGAAAGCGGGAGACGAGGAGGAGAGGTTCGACGATCGAATATCGAGGCTGTTCGTTGCGGGTGGACTGTGTTGTTTGCTGCTTCTGGGGACCTCGCGGAATCCTCTGGCCAACTCCGCAAGCCCTCAGGGATCTCAGTGGGACCTCTAGAAACCTCCGAACCGCTCTGGAGAGGGAGGGAGTATACAAAGTAGGAGAAGTGAACAAAAGAACCGAAAGAGTGACGATCAGGGGGATGGAAGAAGAGGGACGTATGGAGGTTTTCCATGGACGATGGAGAAAAGGGGGAGGGGATCGAAGAGGAAGGAAGACAGGACGGATGGAAGAGGAGGGAGGAAAGGAAGGAAAAGGAGGGCGGAGGACGCATGGAAGAGGCCCTGGAGAGTATGCATGGTTCTGGCGGGCTTTGAAAGGTCTTCCCAGGCTAAGCGGTGCTTGGGCTCAAAAGGGAAGAAGGGGGAAGAAGCGTGAGGGATAGGAGAGGGGGAAATTGGAGGGTTCGAAGAAGTGGGGTCCGTGCGAGGCACAAGAGGCCTGGGAGTGACGGAAGCGAATTGAAGGGACTGGAGGATTTGGATGGGATAGGGAGAGCAGCGAGGAGGGAAGCGGGAGGAACGAAGAGCAAGGAATCTAGCCGCGGTTGTCGGGGCCCACCACGCCGCCCACGACGTCGATGCCCTTGAAGACCAGTCCTGTGCGCGGGACAATCCGCAGGTAGGTGCCAGGCGGCGCAAGAGCGGCCACGCCCGTAGACGCCAGTTCGCGATCACAGGTCGCAACACTGACGGCCGAGCAGGCGAATAGGTCGTAGACTGTTTCACGACGTGTGCCCCGCACTGGTGATTGTGCGCTGGGCCTGAAAAGCTGTATTTTGAGTTTCTTAAGCTCCAGTGCGTCGTTGGTGTCATTGTTCTGGTGGTTATTGCCCACTGCTAGTACTGTGAGCTGCTTTGGTGGTAGTCCCCTGGTCGGTGGTTTGGGTCTGTCAATACTGTCGAATGGAATGCATGGCTGGCAACCAGGAGCTGACTCCAAGCGAAACGACAATTATTTCGCAGCCTCAACGACCCGGAAACGCGACGCGCCCGCTTGTTCGATGCGCCCACCTCAACAAACTTGTCGATGGACTGCATGAATTGTTGACCAAGAAGGGCAGGGATATCGATGCCATCGCCCTCTCTGCAGGGGCACGCACGCCGCGCCTGGCGGTCGCGCCATCGCGGGGGGCAGCCGCAATGGGTCAGTGCACCTCCCACTGGGCAACGCGTGAGCCGTTGCCCACACCTGCTACGCAAAGTGGAGACGTAGCCTTTCCTCTGTGGGCTGGAGCCTCGCCCTCGCGGCTCCCTCGGCCAGGCCCATCGCGAAGCGTCGCCCCCAGAGGTTGGCCCGCGCGCTGGCATCCACAGCGACGCCACGCCGGCGGCGCGAGAGGTCGATGCTCGCCAAGGAGCACGGCGAGTCGGTCGGCGGACTCGGGCCCGTACCCGGCGAGGTCGGCCACGCAAGAACGTCGGCCGGCACGGCTGAGCACGCAGGTCCAAGCGGGCATCGCACGATACTGCCACGTCGGCAGCGCACACGAAACTGGAAGCACTGCCGAGGGACCGCGTAAGATCCGGCCGCGGCGCCCTGGGCGTCGGCGCGGGCCGAGGGGTCTGGATGGCGCCCCGTTGCGGCGGCGTCTGCGCTGGCGCGCTGTCGTCTGTCATCGACCGGGCCAGCACCGCGGACGCTGGGCCCGGAGTACCAGGATCTGCCGCGCGAGCCAGCATCGCAAATTCTGGGCCCGCTGCACTCGGCACGCCGGGCAGTGCACCAGGTGGGCGTCGGTTTTCCGCAAAACCTGCAGGCGGCATGCCCGGCGCAGAATGCAGCGGCGCTGATGGCCCACAACTCGATCGCCATGCACGAAGGCCTCGACACAGACAATGACATTGAAGTCCGCGACGCAGGGTGCAGGCCTCGACAGCCGCAGCCGTCGACATTGAAGACCGCGACGCGGGGTGCAGCTGGTGCGACAGCTGGTGCAGGAGGTGGATTAGTGGGGGGTTATGTCCAACTCCGTGCTGCCCGTCGTCGCGAATCGCCCCGTTGTCGCAAGAGCTCACATGCCAGCTGGGCGCCGTGGAGCTCGTCGAGGCATCATTGCGCGCGGTCGAGAGCGGGGCCTACTCCACGTTCGGGCCGCACGCCGCTGGGCACGCAGGCGTCAAGGCCGGCGAACCACATGGGCACTCTCCCCGATGGCTGGCCAACGCCAACGGGGACGCGCTGGCTGAAGAGAGCAAGATCGTCGGGGGACTCCGGCATCGGTAGCGACACGGCTACTGGCGCGGAGCGCGACGACCATGTGGAGTTCGTTCCACGTGGCGCGCTGATGCGGAATGCTGAGACTGATGGAGGCAGACCCCGCTCGGCAACTGCACGTCGGCAGGTGGGGCAACTGACACCGCGACTCGGGCATTGACACTTCGCTCGCCCAATCGCGCCAGCGCAGCGGTGTCAGCGCAAGCGGCGCAGCTGGCGATGCTGGAGCGGCGGGCGCCGCAGTTGCTGCGCCCCCGACTCCTACCGCGCGGACTGGCAACAGAATTGCCGCATGCACCGATTGAACAGAGCCCCGATGCACGAGGCCCACAAGGTCGCCCATCTCCTGGCGCAGTCGCCGAAGCTCGGCCTCACAAGGGCTGGGCGACGCCGGCGAGGGCGACATGGCACCCACCAAGCTTGACCAGCGGCAATGGCCAACTGCCTGCCAGGGGCCGTCGGACGTAGCACAAGGAGCTTCTGCGGTCGATGCCAGTGAACGCGCTGGCCGCGCAGCTGCCGAAGCTGAAATCGATCGGCTGCCGCCCCGAGGGTCGGCGCTCTGCACGGGGCCACCGCCACCAGACCCTGGAACCACAGGCGCGGGCATCTCGCGGGTCTGCCTGGCCATCCAGACCGAATAGGCACCAGGCGCTGCTCACGGAGCGTGCCCCGCGCCCCAAGCGCGCGAGTAGCGCCGTCGCGGGCAGGGGCGACGCTGCTGAGGCTGGGGCGCCGACGAAGAGGGCGCGCCCTTGCTGGCGCCGACGGGGACAATCGCGCGCGAGGCGCCTCTCTGAGTCGCACCCGCGGCACTTGAGACGCGCCCCGCCCAGGCGGGTCGCCGTCTGTCAAATCTCAAATCCCCGTCCACCGGCCCGACGCTCGACCTTTCCCTAACCCCTGCCCCCCCCTATGCTGGCGAACGTTTCACTGTGGTCGTCGTCGGGCAATTTGGCCGGGAAGGCGCGGCCGCCTTTTCCGCGGCCCCTGCCTTTGCGTTCGATAACCCTCCGCGCGCGGCGCGCAGGCGCGTCGCCGTCGAATCGGCGCCGTCGGGGCTCGGCGCGCTCGCGGGTCTAACAGAAGCGCGCGGCGCGGCGCACCACGGGAACATCGCGCAGTCTGGGGCCGTCGGCGGCGATTTCCTCGCCGAGCGGGCCGACAGCGTCGGAGTCGGCGCAAGAATCGAGACCCGCCGCTGGACGCGCCGCCCGCGGCGCTGCTGACGCGTCGGCGCTGGCGGCCAACGGCGCCGAAGGAGGGCTCAGCGCTGCCCCTGGGGCCGAAAGGCCCGCGCCATCCCAGCTCGACCAGGCCCCAGCGCCACACGCACTCTGACCCCGATCGCGCGCGGGCGCGCCCGCGGGGAACGCTCGGCGTCGGGGAGAGCGCGCGGCCGAGCGAGATTGCCTGGCGAGCATTCGATCACGCGTCCGAATCGGCGCAACAGGCCCATCATGCGCGCCAGCTGCGGCGCGCTCGCAAGGCAGGCCGCGTCGCGGCGCAGCAGGATCACGACGGGCTCGACGTTCGACGCGCCCGCCGCCCGCAGCAAGAGGTAGCCGAGGCCCCCATAGCCGATCATGAGTCGACCAGTCTGGCGCGCCCTTTTGCGGAGGATGTCCAACCTGGCGACGAGGTTGTCGATGCGCCCCCGCGGCAATCGGTTGAAATTCACCAGAGCCGACGCCGCCCGGGCGCGACCTCCCCTCTCCAAGCTGGCCCCGCCGTTCGGCCGAGCTGCGCGCGAGGTAGGTCATGGGCAGCGCTGGGTCGCCGTTGACATGACTCGACCACCTCGGACGAGGACCGCCGGCGCCACTCGCCCACGCACTCGCAAGCCACGTCGGCCAAGCGAGACGAGACATAGGCCGCATGGCGAAACATGTTGAGATTCGAGTTCGCCACTGACCAAATAAAGGAGTTACCTCCTGCATCCAGCGCGAAAAGGCACGCAAGCCCCCAGGCGCGGGGGCGTCGCGCGCAGCCGCTGCCGCCACCGCCCGCGCCCACGCAGGCGATGTAGCTGACGGCAGCGGCCATTCCCACTCCGACGGCCTTCCATCCAGAGCGAGGCCCCCTTCCAGGCGCCGAGGACGCGCGACGGCCCCGGCGCCCAACAACGGCGATGATCTGGCAGAGATTCTCGGAGCCGCCGTGGATACGTGTCCCAGCGCGCTCCTCCTCGTCAGAGCACTGGGCATTTTCTTCTGTCGCGTAATTGGAGCGCCGGCTGCAATCGGAGCACTCCGCCACATGGCACTGCGCTGAGCATTGCCAACTGCGCGATAGTCGAAAACGGTCCGACGGGGGGTCCGGGCACGCCGGGGAGCCGGGACCACGCTGGCAACGTCGAGGGTCATGTCCCCGAGAACCCACAACAAGCAGCCCTTGGTGGTCTCCAAACCAGGCGGTGAGACACCCGGCGGTGACCCCGATTCCCCAAGAAATAATTCTGGGTCGCCACCGGGTTTGGGGACACGCGGTCGCCGCGAGAATTTGCGTTTCCCGGGCCAGCCAGCGCTTGAAAACCATTGCCCAAATCGCCCCAAACTCACCACAGGGCGTTCTCACCACCACGTTTGGGGACCACCAAAGCCCCGAGCTTGCGCGGCGGCCCCCCGGAAGGATGGCAACATAGTTGCCCCGCCCCCCTTTCGACCCCCGCCCTTGCCTGCGCGCGCCCCCCCTGGCTTCCGCGACATAGTCGCGGACGCCACGGGGCGCTCTGCCGACGCCGACGATGCGAGCATCGGATCAAGCGAAAGCTTGACACAGTCGGCTACACCCACGCGCGGACGCCATGGGGGCGATGCGCCCGCTGTCGCTTCCCCCGCGGGCTTCCGCAACGCAGTTGGGAAAAGCTCGGGGCCCGCTGAATGCCGCGAAGACGCGGGGGGGCCGAACATCTCGAACGCAATTCGCGTGCACTCGGGGGGATGGGAACGCTGGCCGGGGGCGCGATTCTTGCCGATGTCCTGGCAGCGGTAGAAATGCCCCCCCCCCCCCCCCCGCGGTCGCAACCGGCGGCTGGGCGGGCGCTGCCCCGACGGCCCCCGGGGGGCCCCGCCAGCAAGGACGAGCGCGCAGAGCGCGCGAACACGGAGAGCACGGCCCGGCGCGCGACCGAAGCTGGGGGGGCACCACGGCGAGAGGACGCCACGCAGGCCGCGGCGAGGCGCGGAAGGCGTCGCTGCCAACTGAGAAACAGGGTGCGCGGCAAAGGGAAATCATGCCTTTCCACCGTATCCAATAGAATAAAGCTGATCGCATCACGGGAGTGAACCTGGCGCGGGGCTCGGCCGACCTCCGCGCGCCGCTGGAACTCTGCGGACGGGGCCCCCCGCAAGCGGGGCAGGCGACGGAGGTGCTTCGGGGCGCGAGACGGCGCGGCGACCGCCCGCGCGGCAACCCTGGGAGCCGCAAAAGGCCTCGCCACACGGCCCCTCGCCGCAGGACCTCGGAGGCCCCAGTCGCCCGAGGCGTCCTTCGAGAGAGACCCGAATCCCAAGACCGCGCGGCCACCCCGAATCCCCACTGCCCCACCACGCGGCGCGGTCACTGCACCGCTCGGGGCTGCCAACTTCCGCGCCAATAAGAACTGGCGACAGTGCGCCGCTCGGGCCTTCCAGAGGGGCCCCAAGCGGGTCAGCCCTGGGCCGCGCGAATCGCGCGGCGCCACGAGCGCCCCGCGGCGCCGCCACCCCGCGCGACGTGGAACGCCCTCGGCTTCGAAGGAAGGCGGGAAAACGGAGTCAAGGAGCAACGCCTGGAAGGACCCCATAAGAACGAAGAGGGGGAGAGGAGGAAAGAAGAAGAAGAAGAGAGAAAAAACACAAAAAAGAGAAGAAAAAGGAGAAGAGGAAAAAAAAAAAAAAAAAAAAAAAAAAAAAAAAAAAAAAAAAAAAAAAAAAAAAAAAAAAAAAAACTGCGGTCAGCCACCTGCAAACCCCCCATCGGCCCCCACCCCTCCGCCAGCGCGCGGAGGACGGGCCGACCGCGGCAGACGCGGCACGCCGAGCGGCGCAAAGTTGCAGGAGGCGCAAGCGCTACAGCTCAAGCTTCAATCGACAATTCATTCACAACCTCAGTTCGAGACTGGAAGCAAGCAGCGCGCTCGGCGGGGCAAAGTGCGCCACGTTGCCCACGCACCTTCTGGCGCGCGGCCATGACTGACTGAGCCCGATCGGCGGCAAGCTCAAGGAGGCCAAAAAAATCACAGCACCGAGCTGGATCAACGTGGACCCGGTCGGAAAGAGCCGAACTGGGCCTGATCAGGCTGGACGAGACCCCCGAGGACACATGAATGGGCAGGACAGGACAGGACAGGAGCGGCGCGCACAGAGGCGCGCCCTGTGCGGGCTGCCGCGGGCCCCCTCGCATTCTCGCACGCGCGTTCTCGCATCCTTGCAGTCTCGCACTGCACCGCTCTCTCACACTCTCACGCTCTCACATTCTCCTTCTAGTCACTCCACTCTTAAATCGGCCCTCCAACAGATCTGCACCCCGAAGGGGCCCATCGCAGCTCAACCTGCCCCCTTATGAGGCCACTGCACGACTGTAGCTCATGATAAAGTTGGACTTCCTTTCGCACTGCGACTGCAGCCACGCGGGCAATCCTGATTTCGAGCATGCCACCTCTGCCCGTTGAATGGCTCTCACAATCCAATCAACATATGACTCGTGTTCCAGTCGTGCGCCCACACTTGTCCATTGCTGCGTTGAGCCTCTGCTCTCGCGCTGCACTGAGCGCCCAGGCACCGCTTCCATACAGCACCGCACAAGACAGAACAGCGTCAAACACACATAATATCGGTTACACTACTCGTATTTGAACTTTCCGAAGGCGGCCGATCCTCTCGAGATCCCGTGGTTGATTTCTATATCGTAGCATTCACTGCACGTCAACTGCCTTCCTAAGTACTTCGTCCTGTCGTCGAACGCCAAGATGTCGTCTCGCCCGTCGTCAACTTCGACGTCTTACTGTCACAATACTCGCCGGAGGTCAGCCTCGTTGGACAGGAACTTGGCTTGCCCATGTGCACCTGGAAGCCAGCAGGGCGCGCCCTCTCGTTCAAGTCTAACAACATCCGTCGCACCTGCGCCCTTCTGGTTGCAAGCGAGAGAATATCGTCTGCGAAGCTCAAGTTGGTCAGCTAACGTGGACCAAGTTTGTATCCAAGCAGTCGTGAGGTCCCCCACGATTGTCTCCAGAACTGTGTCGAACATAGCTGATGACATTGGGTCGCCCTGCTTCGCGCCTCTTTCAAGCTCGAACACACGGCTTTACAGATCAGATACCACCCGGCCTGGTCGTCCGGCATACAGCCTGCGCAACATTTGACTGTCTGTCTCGGGATCCCCTTGAGGGGCGCAGAGGATGCCAGATATCATAATGGTTTCACAGAATCGAATGCCTTCTCGAAGTCAACGGCGGCGACCCAGAGTTTTAAGTTCTACTCTCTGGTCTTCTCGTGAGAGAATGTAAGTGCTACCAAATGACCATCACACCCGCAACCCTTGCGAATTCCAGCTTGGTCGACTGACTGCTTTTCATCGAGGCATTTGGCGAGCCGCCCGTTTAGCACCATGGCGATGAGCTTACACAAGATGGAGAGAATGGAAATTGGATGGCAATTTCCAAGAAGCTGGGGATCTCCTTTCTCGAAGATCACCTTGGCGCAAGTGTGCCCCCACGACTCTGGTGGTTCATCCCCACGGAAAAGAATACTCGTGTAGATGTTAGTCAACACTTCTTTTAGATGCGCCCCGCCAACTTTGAACATGTCAGCAACTATTCCAGTCCGATCGGCAGCTTTGCCTTTTCTCTTGCGTCTGACGTGCTCATTTGTCTCCTCAACTGCAACTGACGGTACATCAGCTGTTTCTCCAATGCAGCCAGCGTCTCCCTCAGAGCTGCGGTCGGCCCCCCTTGACTTGTACAGCTCCTCGCAGAACGCGGCGAAAACATCGGCGATGCCTTGTCTGTCCGAGCACGGGTCCCCTGAGCAGTCAACGATACTGGTAAACCGCTGCCTTTTGAAGTTGTTGTGTACTGTGTATCTCGTGGATGCGGCCGATGCTCTTAAAATTCTGCTAGATTAAATCAATGCGTTCAGTATTCCGCTCTCGTTTCCAATATATGTTCCGATGTTGAACTCAATCTCCCAGGAGTTGCAACTCAGTAGGAGGGAGGAGCCCACGTCACCAACGGAACTTTATCAGCCTTGCCGCCCGGCGGCGAGGCCGAGGGAGGACTGCCTGCGGGTGAGCTCGAGACAACGCCCCGAATCAATCCACGGGAAGGGAGGAGGGAGAAAGGACTGAGAAGGAGGAGGAGGAGGAGGAGAAAAAGAAGGAGGACTGGGGAGGAGGAGGAGGAGGAGGAGGAGGAGGAGGAGGATCGGCGCCGCGCCGAGCGGGGAAGGTATTCCCAGGCCTCCGGCATTCTTCATAGCTTCTCTGAAGCTCCGCCGCCTTCTGAGAAGGCCTACCCCCCCCCACACTTCCCCCCTCGGCGCGCCGCCGAGAGGAGGAGGAGGAGGAGGAAGAGGAGGAGGAGGAGGAGCAAATCCTCTGGACCGTTCGTGAATGAGTCGAGGATCAAGACCGGCCCTGCGACGTCGCTGTACAGCGTGTGGATGCTATGCATGCGCCGGTCCGGCACGCCGGGGACCGACCCATCCATGGGCCCGATGTCCTCCACCAGAGGATGAGCAAGGAGGAGAGGAGGAAAAAGGATGAGCAAGGAGGAGAAGAGGAGCAGGAGGAGGAGGAGGACCAGAGCAAACCCAAGATGCATCAACGATGATGCAATACACCCTCTCGTCCCAAGTCACCTCCGCATAAGTTCCTACGAGCCTTCATTTCCCCTTCAAGAATAGCCCCTTATCAAGATCAGCACCACATGATTCTACCATTCAGGCGAGAAACCCAGGCTGAAAGAGAACTGAGCGCATAGCATCCTTCCGGCGACCGATAAGGAACGCGCAAATAGATGCGATCGTACTACTCTCAAAAACTGTCCAACGAGATCCCCGTTTTCAAAATGGTCCAACCCCCGTCCGTGTGATTATCGCAGCAAGTTTTCGGCCACGAGCGTCGAGCAAGTCTCGCGCCTGAATCCCCCTTCTGGAGAAACAACAAAGAAAACGCCCTCTGTTCGTGCACTTGTGGCGCCTGTTCGAGCTCGGGCCATCCAAGCTACAGCAGGAGCCTCGGGCGGGCGCCGAGTGCTGAGAGGAACCATCCTTCATCTGTGCCAATAGTGCAGATGTTCAAATTTCTGGCCTCTACAATTTAAGTACACATCAATCTGGCCGTCGAAATGCCCTTTACCCGATCCAAGATTTAAACAAACGAATGCTCGCGGCGCCAAGGCGAGAGTCAAATCCTGAGGAACCTGTAAATGTTGCAAGAATTTATACCGAATCGAATGCGCGCGGCGCTAAGGCGAGAGCTCCATTTTGAAACAGAACCGCCCTCAAGCCAAGCTGCTGAAAACTGTTAAGAAGAGTGCGAGCGGCGCTAGAGCGTGATCCACAGATTGACAAGAAACCGCCATCCACCCTTGAAACGATTGCGAATTGTTGAAAAATGCTCGCGGCGCTGAAGCAAGAACCACATCTTGGCAACGCCCCCTCCCCCTCCATCCGTGAACAATGGTCAAAAGAATGGGACAAAAATTTGGCGAGAACCACAATGTTTCAAGACGACCCGCGCTCCATCCGTAAAACTATTGCAAGTTCAAGCTTCAGGATCACAACTGGTGAGGCAGGCGAAACGCCCTGACCGCCCTACCAACACGTCTGCGGGTGCACCAGGAAGGAGTTGTTCATCAGGAAAGGGGATGGATGCGATGCGATGCGACCACTGTTGAGGACAGCGTCCAGGCCTAGAGCAGACCAGGTGGGTGAGGCCATGGCCTCTAGGATCTGAGGTGTCTGGATTCATGCAATGCGAGACATGTAAAAAGTTAGGAGAAGAGGGGGAGGAGGAGGAAAAGAAAGAGGAGAAGGAGGGGAAGATAAGGACGACGAGGGTGGATCAGCCGCAGCAGCAGGGAAGACGTGGAGGAGGATGGTGATGATGCACCCGTCGGCGACGCAAGCCCCGAAGTCCACCACAATTCAAGAGCCAAGCTCTCCTGGCTGGCCGTTACAGCCAAGGCTGCGCAGAGGAGGAGGAGCAGAAGGGGGGGGGGAGAGGGGGAGGAGGGTGTCCTCCAGCAGGCGGGAGAAGATGGGGTGCCTCATTTCGCAGAAGGCGTTCCACTCCGTCTGCACCTTGGCGTGGTCGCTGCCGAAGGAGCGGAAGAGGATGGAGAACCTTTGAGGCAAGGGGAGACCCTAATAAAGAAAGCCAAAGATGACAAGGGGATCTATCTTTGATTGGAACGCTTCCTCGAGGAGGGGACAGTCACGGACCAAACCTCTACTTGCAACTGGTCTGGTCTGCTTGAGCGGGCTGGGAAAACCTGATCCCTTTCGGGCCGCTGGCAGCAGGTCCCTCGCATGACGGCGTCGGCTCTGGCTCCTGACACCGCGTTAGGAGGCAACTCATGGGAGGTCTTCATCAAAAAGAGGAAAGGATACTAGACCCAATCAAGGGGCCATTGAGCCGGATCAGGCCCGAGTAAGCCTGGAATGAAGCCAGATGAACTGGGATTCAGCCAGATAAGCTGGGATTGAGCTAGGTTTGGCGGGATTGGCCCGATTTCGACCAGCTTCGACCCGGGATATGCCAGCGCCGATTCGGCCCGACTTGGCGACGGGGCGCGCCGACTCTGCACGGCGGCCGGACCCGTCGTGCGTCCACGCGCCTCACGCCTGGAGAAACGGCACGGTGCCCACACCGCTGCTCCCCGGACCTCTCCCGGGGTGCGCTCCGGCCAGACTCCCGAGGGGCGAAGCCGGCGGTGGCGCCGAGGGCCTCCGAGGAGGCCCGAACAGCGGGCAGACGAGGGAGGGGCAGCGGTCCGGGTGCCCCCTCCTGCTCGGAAGCCCGTGCCCGCGTTCCCCCTCGGCTCTCGGGGCCCCCGGGCCCGAGGCGGGCCCCCCCCCTTCGAGGGCGCTCCGCCCTGTGGAGCGCCCACGCCGTGCGCGACCCGCCGCTGCCCAGGCTGTGCGGGCCTGCCGCGGGTGCCCCTGTTCCCCCTCGAAGGGCCTGCGCCCAGAGCGCTGCAGGCCCGCGGCCAGGTGGAAAAGCGACGGGAAGGCGTTGTACCTCCTCCCGGCGATGCCTGCCGCGGCAGTGGCCGGGCTGTCGACGTGCTCGGGCGGCAGCAGCATGCACTCCTCCGAGCGGCCACGGCCCCAACTCTCCCGCGACTTGGGCTTCTTCCGTCCGGACGTCTCTCCTCGATTGCGGCCCCCTGGGGCCCGCTGTTGGGCCTCGGGGCCATCAGAAAGAGAAACCCGGGGCGGATAAGACAACCCCGGGGAAGGGGTCGGGGCCTTTCGGACCGCGGACTAGTTCAAAACGGAATCGACGGATGTCAGGGACTGGGGGAACTGTGTTCCTTACCCACCTCGGACAGTGGAGGGTGAATCTTTCGATTTGTCCGTGCGCTGGGCTATATATGATAATGATTTGTCGTAGCCGTACGGCAGCGATGGGTGCATTGAGCAGAGCATCGGTGTCCTGTAGGTCTCTGGAGGCTCCCGCGATTTCAATTTAATGTCCCTTGCGTTCGTATGTGCACCGAGCGCAAGAACACCGATCTCGCCTGAGACATCATCACCCGCATGCTCATAGCAGTTCAGGCTTCGGCGTTTCTGGCGGGTTCCCGAAAACCCTGGCAGTACCATTCGACTCCAGCTGCGCTTCGTCGCGGAGCTTACACCAAAGAGACTTCATTGCTGCGTCGGGTGTCCTCGCAAAGCTGCTGTGTTTCCAAAAGCCCCCGCGTTTCCACGCGAATCCTGTTGCCTTCCTTGGCGGAACATACACCAGAAAGTCTTCATTGTTGCGTCTCCTCGCGGAGATCAGAGTCCGTGATAGTTGCGTTGCGTTGGTAGAGGCACTCGGCAGAATCCTCCAGTGCTCTGCGTCGACCAAAACGTGCGATATCACCATTTTCACTGCCACGTCTATATTCGCTGTGACTCCGACGACGCAGGCGCCACTGAAACGCGCTCGGAAACAAAGGCGTGCTGGAACAAAAAGCAACTGGTTCGAACCACAATGGATACGAAATCCAGTTCTATGATGCTTTCGGATTCCCAGCGGAAGGCCCGGAAATCGAACGCAGAAACATTCGTTTCTCTGCTGGGGGAGCCCATCGCATCGACGATCTCTCCAAAGGGGTGTCGAGGCCGGTGGGCCTTCCTGGGGGAGACAAGGGCTACAGTTCTCACGCTGCGACTGGTCTGACTCCTGCGTCGTACGGAGGAGCGCATTCATCTCCTGCCTTGTCTCGTCGTCGCCAGCCAGAGTGAACGCCCTCAGCGCCTCCTTCTGGGCCTGAGCTCTCATCAATTGTCATCCTACTCATCAACCTCCTCCTCCTTGTCCTCCTCCTTGTCAGCTCCTCACTCTCATCAGCACCACCACCTCCACGATCCTCATGATCACCCGAATATTCATAAACCACATTGTCACCATCATCATCATCATCATCATCATCATCATCATCATCAGCATCATCATCAGCATCATCATCATCATCATCATCATCATCATCATCATCATCATCATCAGCATCATCATCATCATCATCAACATCATCATCATCATTATCCAAATCATCGTCATCATCAGCATCATCATCAGCAGCATCATCAGCATCATCAGCAGCAGTATCATCGTCATCATCACCACAACATCATCATCAGCAGCATCATCATGATCAGCATCATCATCATCATCATCAGCATCATCATCATCATAATCATCATCATCATCATCATCATCATCATCATCATCATCATCATCATCATCAGCATCATCATCATCATCATCATCATCATCACCATCATCGTCGTCATCGTCATCATCCTCATCATCACCATCATTATCATCAGCATCATCATCATGGTCGTCATCATCATCATCACCAGCATCACCATCATCATCATCATCAGCATCAGCAGCATCAGCATCATCATCATCCTCCTCATCCCCATCCTCACCCTCATCATCATCCTTATGATCATCGACGTCATCGTCATCGTCATCGTCATAATCATCACCACAACCACCACCAACAACATAATCATCATCATCATCAGCATAATCATAATCATAGTTATAAGCACTACCACCACCAACATCAGCAGCATCATTGTCATCACGACCGCCGTCATCACCACCGTCATCATCAGCAGCATCAGTAGCATCAGCAGCATCAGCATCAGCATCACCATCATTATCATCCTCATGCACATCATCATCGGCACCATCAGCTCCAGCATCATCATAATCATCATCATCATCACCATCATCATCGGTATCAGCAGCATCATCATCACCACCACCGCCAAGAGAATATTCATCATCATCAGAATCGTCATCATCATCATGATCATCATCATCCTCATCCTCATCATCATCATCATCATCATCGTCATCGTCGACGTTATCGTCATCGTCATCGCCCTCGTCGTCGTCGTCCTAAAATCCATGAAGAACCACGGAAACCTGAAAAACCCGGGACATCTTCTGAAGCCTCCAGAAACCTTCAACAACATAGACCACTTCAACATCAGCATCGGCATAAGCATCACAACCACCACCACCACCACCACCTCTTCCTCCTCCTCCTCCTCCTCCTCCTCCTCCTCCTCCGCCCCCGCTCTCCTCCTCATGCTCCTCTTGACCCTCCTCCTCATCCTCATCCTCCTGCTCCTCCCCACCACCCTCCCCTCCCCCAGCCGCTTCCTCCTCAGCCTCTTCCCATCCTCCCTTCCTGTCTTCCTTCCCCCCCTTCCGGCATCTCTTCCCGTCCTTCTCTGGGAGGGAGCGGTCCCCTCCCTGCCCATGGGGCTTGCAGACCCGATAGAGGGCCAGGCGCCCGCGGGCTCCGGACGCCACTCCCCTACGTCATGTGCCTCTTGTGCTCCTCCTCCTCCTCCTCCTCCTCCTCCTCCTCCTCCTCCTCCTCCTGCTCATGGGCCTTCTTGTCCGTAACGACTTTCCTGACGTACTGCACGTAGCTAGAAAGGTTGTCCGCCCCTTCACGGACGTCGTCCTCGCGGGGCGCGGCTTCCACACACCGCTCGTCTTCGGCCCGTCCTTTTTCCTCAAACTCGTTCTACCCATCCTATCCTCCTGCTCCTGCCACAACTGGCCTTCTCCTCCCCTCCCCCTCCATATCATCAGCAGGAGCATCATCAGCAGCTTTGTCGTCGTCATTGTCCTGTTCTTTTTAATCGTCTCTATCAGATCGTCCTCATCATCTTCAAACCCGTCATCATCACCACCGCCGTCATCAGCAGCAGCATCATCAGCAGCACAAGCATCAGAGAGAGCGTGATCCACCGCCGCTTTACTGCGGAAAATTCCCCCCCCTCTCCCTCCCCCCCTCCGGAAAACCGAGGGGGGGTCAGCACCAGTTCGAACCCCCTCCCCCCCCCCTCCAGAAAACCGAGGGGGGTCGCTACCGCTTCGAACCCCGCCCCCTCCAGAAAACTGGGGGGGTCACTACCGGTTCGAACCCGCCCCCCCCCCCCCTCTGGAAAACCGGGGGGTCACTACCGGCTCGAACCCCTCCCCCCCCCCAGAAAACCCGAGAGGGGTCACTACCGGTTCGACCCCCCCCCCTTCGAAAACCGGGGGGGGGCCACTACCGGTTCGACCCCCCCACCCCCCCGAAAACCGCTGGAGGGGTCACTCACTACCGGTTCGAAACACCTCCCCCCTCGAAAACCAGGGGGGGTCACTACGGGTTCGAACCCCTCGCACCCCCCCACGCTCACCGCCAGCAAACAACTCTGAGTCCCTACCACCGTCCGCACCACAACCCCAACTGCTGTCCCCAGCACCACTGTCCTCACCACCACTGTCCCCACTGTTCCCACCACCGTCACCACTGTCCTCACCAGTGCCCCCACCACTGTCGCACTTTCCCCACGGTCCCCACCACTGTTCCCACCACGGCTCCACTCTCCCCACTTTCTCCACGGCCCCAACCACTGTCCCACTGTCCCCACTGTCCCACTGTCCCACTGTCCCCGCCGCTGTCCCACTGAGCTGTCCCACTGTTCCCACCACTGTCCCCACTGTCCCCACCCCCACCACTGTCCTACTGTACCTCTGTCCCATTATCCCACCGCCGTCCTCGCCACCGCCCTCACCACTGTCGCCACCACCACTGCCCCACTGTTTCCACCACATTCCCACTGTCCCCACACCACTGTCCCCACCACCACCGTCCCCACCACTGTCCCCACTGTTCCCACCATTGTCCCCGCTGTCCCCACCAGTGCCCCCACCAGTGTCTCACTGTCCCCACTCTCCCCGCCATTGTCCCACCACGGTCCCACTCCCCCACTTTCCCCACGGTCCCCACCACTGTCCCACTGTCCCCACTGTTCCAACCGCTGTCCCACTGTCCCCGCCGCTGTCCAACTGTGCTGTCCCACCGTCCCCACTGTCCCCATCACTGTCCCACTGTCCCCACTGTCCCCACCACTTTCCCCACTGTACTACTTTCCCACCACTGTCCTCACCACCGCCTTCACCACTGTCCCCACCACTAACTACCGTCCCCACCACTGTCCCACTGTCCCCACCACTGTCCCGCTGTCCCCTCACCACTGTCCCCACCACCACCGTCCCCACCACTGTCCGCACCACTGTCCCACTGTCCCCGCAGCATTCTCCCCACAACCACCGTTTCCACCACTGTCCCAACATCCCCACCATTCTCCAACTGTCCCGAGGAGCGGGCATCGTTTGCCGGCGGCGAGAGGGGGGAGGGGGGCGTTCGAACCGGTAGGGACCCCCCCCGAATTTCGACGGGGGGGGAGGGGGTTCGAACTGGTAGTGATCCCCCCCCCGGTTTTCGAGGGAGGGGGGGGGTTCGAACCGGCAGTGACACCCCCCCTTTTCATGATGGACTGGGGGGGGGTTCGAACCAGTAGTGACCGCCCCTCGGTTTTCGAGGGGAGGGGGGGGACGGGTTAAGAACCCCCAGTGACCCCCCCCAGTTTTCCGCCAGCAGCGGTAGAACACGCTCTTTCAAGCATCAGCATCAGCATCAGCATCAGCATCATCGTCATCATCATGAGCAGCATCATCAGTATCAGAATCATCAGCAACCTCATAATCCTAACAATCGTCATCCTCGAAATCATGATAATCACCGCCGTCAACATCGTCTGTCATCATCATCGTCACCATGATCGAAAATTCATGACAATATTCTGAACTAGCGCATCTAGCATCACCACATCAAACGTCATCACCACAATCATCCTTAACACCATCACAATGATCGCCATCATCAGCATCGGCATCATCATTGTCGTCATCATTATCATCATCAGCAGCAGCAGCATCATCGTCATCGTCATCGTCATCATCAGCATCATCATCAGCAGCACCATCATCATAATCATCACGAACAACAGCAACATCGTTAAGATCACCGTCATCACAATCATCATCAACAGCAGCAGTATCGTCATGACCATCATCAGCGGACTCATCATCATCAGCAGCAGCAGCATCAGCATCAGCATCAGCATCATCATCATCATCATCATCATCATCATCATCATCATCATCATCATCATCATCATCATCGTCGCCACCTCGCCACTACCACCCTCATTATCGTCATCATCATCACCATAACTAGCATCATCATCATCATCACCATCATCATCATCATCATCATCATCGTCATCACCACCATCGTCAGCATCATCATCGTCAGCATCAGCATCGCCATCATCGTCAGGTGCATCATCATGATGTTCGTCATCCTCATCATTATCATCAGCGGACATCAACATCATCGCCATCATCATCACCGTTATCATCATCGTCGTCATCATCATCAGCATCGTCACCACCATCATCATCATTATCATCATCGTCATCATCATCAGCATCATCATCAGCATCATCATCCGAATCATCAGCATCATCATCAAAATCAGCATCAGCATCATCATGATCGCCTCACGGTCACCGTCACCAACACAACCAACGTCACCGTCACCAGCACCGCCACCTCCACCACCACCACAACCACAACCATCACCATCACAGTCGCTTGCTACCACTATCACAATGCCCATAACAATCACTATCTCATCACCGTCGTCATCGTCACCATCATCATCACCATCATCATCATCATCATCATCATCATCATCATGATTACTACTACCACCACGACCATCAACATCAGCAGCATAAGCATCAGCAGCAGCTGCACCACCATCATCCTCATTGTCATCATAACCATCATCAGCAGCATCATCATCATCCATCACCGCCAAGATCAGTATCATCATCGTCGTCATATCCATCATCATCATCATCAGCAGCAGCATCATCATAGTCATAGTCATAGTCGTCATCATCATCATCATCATCATCATCATCATCATCATCATCATCATCATCATCATCATCACCATCATACGTGTTATTGTCATTGTCATCATCATTCCCCCTGCTCCTGCTCCGTTCTATCCTCCTTCTGTTCTTACTGCTACTCCTCCACCACCACCATTACCTCCTCCTCCTCATCCTCCTTCTCCTCCTCCGCCAGCTTGTCTCAGGCTATCGCACGGCTTCGCCCTTCCTGCCTCGCTCGCCTGCCTCGGGATGGAGTCGAGGCCTAAGGGGGCTCTCGCGGCCGCCGACGGCGCTCTCCTCGGGGAAGCTGCCCTGCGCGCCACGGTGCTCAGCAAGGCACCGCGCCGCACCATCTCGGCGGTGGCGAGGCCGGCTGTGGCCGCTGCCGCTTCTGCGGCCATGGCACCGCTGGTCGCGCCCGCTTGCGCCGGTGAAGAGGTGCCAGGGCAGAAGATGAAGGAGGACGTCAAGCCACCACCCTCGGCGGCCAAGGTCGCCAGGCGAGGCCGCCGCAGGGCTCGTCTGACTGCGGCGCGCCTGGAGGGACGCATGATGGACTCTGTTGGCAAATCCAGCTTCAACGAGGAGTGGACTGACGACGCGGGGCCTGCGGGCTCTGCCTCGACCAGCCTGGACTTGACTCGGCTGCGCCTGGCACAGCAATGGCTCCTGTGGGTGGTGGCGCTGCTCCCGCTTTTGTAGAGCCAATGGCGGCGGGCGCGGTGGCGGCCCTTGTGCCGAACCAGCTCTTGGAGATCTACCTTAAGGAGCTCTCCCGCCCTGGGCGCCTGAAAATCGTCCTCCCGCCGTTCATCCATCCGTGGGCCAGTGGAGGACATCGACCAGTACGGCCATGATCACCTGCGCTTCTTCGCTTTGGATGGCCGGACGCGCGTAGTCTGCCAATACCCGGACCCGCCGTCGGTACTGCCCATCCGCTCCACGGGGCTCCTCATCCTACTTTTAACTCGTGGGCGGCTTCGTAGACTGGGCGTTTGGCCTGGCCCACCCCAGGATTGCTGGCGGCTGGCGGCCATCATCGCTAGCGAAGAGCAACGATAAAGGGGGGCTGGCATGGGGGGGGACACATCAACCTGGAATCGGCGATGCATCGCCGATAGATCGGCGATAGGGCCCCGATAGCGAATCCGCACGTGCTTGGGCCAGTTGGAGTGCTATCGGGCCCCTATCAGCGATCAATGAACCCCCTCATCGTTGGCCCTGGGCTAATTCACGCGGGGGCCAAGGGTGTGAGAACCATGTGACGGGACACGGCGCTGCTCGGCTGACCCGCAGCACTGGCCGCCGCCGCCCGCGGCGTAGCAGCAAGCGGCCGGGCCGACTCGGGCGCCCGCCTCTCCTCCTCCTCCTTGTCCCCTCCTCCTCCTCCGCCTCCTCCTACTCTTCCTCCTCCTCCATTTCATCCGCCTCCTCCTCCTCCTCCACCTCCTCCTCCTCTTCCTGTTTGCTCCACTCCATCCTCCCTCTCATGGGGTATGACGTCTCCCAAAAATTTATTTCACCGCGTGCTCGCCCACATGACTGATCAGGGCAACTCGCCTGGGCAGCGTTTCTGGATGGGCTGGTGGGGTTACACGAAGCGTCTAGGATAGTATGAGTCGTATTGGAATTACGTGTTTGACCCGGAGCGACTGTCATTGTTAATCGGATGCGTAAAACGGTCAGTGCTACCAGTTGTCGTAGGATTGATCGTGATATCTGCCTTCATAATATGTATGCGGCATTACTGGTTTCAGTATTCGCGCGAACCTTAGGAGTACGAATATGAGAATATGAGTCGCAGTGGTGCTCGGCGTGTTCGCATGACTCGTGTCTCGCATCGGTGCTACTGACAGTCGTGATACCAGCACTGCTGGTGACCGTAGTGCTAGCACTCATCACATGTGTAGTAGTTTTGTTCTTGCTGGTCTCGGCGGTGCGCAAACGGGGGTGGAGGGAGGGGGGAAGGCTTCTTAGAAGGAGGCTGCTTCTTAGAAGGCGCCGGCCTTACATCTATAGATAAGGCCCGTGCCTTCTAAGAAGCAGGGGTGCTTCTAAAAAGCCCTCCCCCCTCCCCCCACCCCCCTCTGCGCGTGGCTGATGGTCTCAGGAGGGACCACCGCCGCCATGGGGGGGAAGAGGCGACAAGGGCGCGCGTGCCCCTGGCTGCCGCCCCGCCCCGCCGAGCCCGGGCCTCGCTCGGCAGGCAGCTCGGCGCGCTCCGCGTCCACCGCCACGTCAGCCCACCGCCCTCCTCGCGGCGTCGTCGCGGGGTCCTCGTCGTCGCGGCAGCCGTCGAGGAAGGGAGGGGGCAGGGGGGAAGGTGGACGGGGGGATGGGCGGAGCCGAAGGGGAAGCAAGAGCGGCAGGAGGAGCAGCAGCAGAAAGAGAGGGCGAAGGAGGATTGAGGAGGGGAGGAGGTCGAACCGGCAGTGACCCCCCCCCTTTTCATGATGGACTGGGGGGGAATTAGAACCGAAAGTGACCCCCCCCGGATTTCGAGGGGGGGGGACGGGTTGGGAACCCCTAGTGACCCCCCCCCGGTTTTCCGCCAGCAGCGGTAGAACACGCTCTTTCCAACATTTGGAAGCTGTTGAAGGGCCTGGCCATGTCCTTGCTTTCCGAAGACGCTCCGTGGATCATCCAAAACGATTGGAACTGCTCCCCGTCGGATTTGGCGGACACAGGCCCGCTTGACCTGGTGGCGGGGGCTATCTTCCAGACTGGCTCGCCCACGTATTTCACCAGGCACAATGAGGATTCGGAAGGAGACCTCGCTGGTCAGGACGGTCAGCTCCTCCAAGCCCAAGGCCTTCAAGAGGTTCCCTGCGGTCCCCAATGGCGACCCCCACCTGGAGGCCCCCCCCAGGTCCTTGGAGCAAGGGCCCTGCGCAGATCCCTGCCGACGTGACGTCTAGCATGAAGGAGTGGTTTCGCAACTCTGAGGCGCGTCTGGGAGTCATCAGCGATATCCCCGACAACGAGAGGGACCAGTACATGGGGAGGACCGTGGGCCCACCGACGGACTAGGGTGCCCCATGCTGACCCTTTGGGGCCGAGACCCCAGTCAACGGCGACCAGGCCTGGGCCTCCCGAAGCGGCTCTCCGCCAGTTGTTCCTTCGCATCGGCTCGGGCACGGCCGACGAGAGCGATGCGACCTTCAGCTTGCTGGGGGAGTACTGCGGGTGCCTCCAGGCGCGTCGATGCCAGGGAGGGAGGACGGAAATGGAAGACGTGGGCGAAGGAGTCGGTGAGAAGTGGGGGGGGAACAAGGCTCACGCCTACGCCAAGAGACGCCGCCAGGACCTGTCTCCTGTTGAGGAGCCTGGAGGGCCCCCAGGCCACGGCGACCAGGCCCGTGGCTTTGCCCCTGGACGAGTGGCTTCTCATGTGGGCTCCCGCGGGCCGAGAGAGAGAGAGAGAGAGAGAGTTGACCCCAGCCAGTGGGGCATCGGAGGGGCGACCCTGCACCCGCTGACTCTGGAGGCCTTTCAGGATGTCTGCAGGTCCTGCTCGGAGGGTGCCGGGCTAGACTAAGATCAGTTCCAAGGGAAGTGGGTCCTCCAGCTCCCCTTGGGACTACCAGGTGAGGTTCCTGTCGGCTCTCTCAGGGTTCGAGGACAACCCAGGTTGGTTCAGGGACCGCGCGACGGGCACGAGCAGTGCCACCGTCGGATTCAAAGAAGTTCTATGAGCATGTGCGGCATAGCGGCCTGTTCGACGCAGCTGGTCAGTTCGATTCAACCTGAAACTCCTCCGAGGGCTGGTTATTGTGTACTCGGGGTTCAAGACATTGTTGAATGACGGGGCGATTTCGAGTGTGGTCCAGGCTTCTGGGGCGATTGCGGCCCGGTGTTCGGCGGCCACGACGCTGGCTAAGTCCCACCAGCCCTCTGGGCGTAGGTGGTCTAGGGAGTTTCCTCTTCCCCTTCGGGGAGGGGCTTATCACTGTTCCCTATTGATAAACACCCCCTCCCCCAGGCGACTAGTAGCCAACCAAGAACCATGAAGGCCCCCCCCCACCATCCCTTGTAAAAACCGTACAAAACACACTCTGCCTCCAAATTCGAAACATGCGCAGCCAACCCGATGCGGCCTCCCCCTACCATCCCTGTCAAAAAAAAAAAAACACTTTGCGGCGGCGGCGGCTGCGGCGGCTTCGGCGGCGGCTGCGGCGGCGGCGGCGGCGGTGGCGGCGGCGGCGGCGGCGGTGGCGGTGGCGTCAGCGGCTGCGGCGGCGGCGATTTGGCAGCGGGGGCGGCGGCGGCGGCGGCGGCGGCGGCGGGCGGCGCGCGGCGGGGGCGGCGGCGGCGACGGCGGCGGCGGCGGCGGCGCGGCAGCGGCGGCGGCGGCGGCGGCGGCAGCGGCGGCGGCGGCTGCGGCGGATTGGTCCCCAGCAGCTGCCCATCCAAAGACGACTGCTGAATATGCTGAGGCTCGGGCCAGACTCGGGTGCTACGTATGTGTTGGGAGGGCGGGTGGGAGTGAGCGAGACGGCTTGCGGGCGGGGAGGGACCCCTCCCCTGGACCTGGACGGGGGGTTCCGCGACGCGTTGGAGCGTCCAAAACGGCCTCGGCGAGGAAGCCAAAATCATTGGTTTTACAATGGTTTTGGCCCCATGTTGGCCTCCTGAAAGGGGGGAGGCTAATTTCGCCACCCCCCCTCCTGTGATCGATCTCCTCCAAAATGTCTCCAAGAGGCGCCCAGGAGGCCCCGAGATAGCCCCAAGATGGCCCCATGTGGCCCCAAGAAGCTCCCAAGAGGCCCCCAGGATGCCCCCAAGAGGCCCCCAAGAGACCCCCACGAGGCCCCAAGAGACCCCCCAGAGGCACCCAAGACGCTCCAAGAGGCCTCGGCGAGAATGCCAAAATCATTGATTTTACTAAGGTTTTGGCTACATTTGGGCCTCCTGGGGGGGTGGCACTGCTTCAGATGACTCCACGAGCGCCTGGGAGAGCCCAAAATGACCTCCAAGATGGCTCAAGATATCCCTATATGCCTCAAGATGGCTCCAACGATGCTCCAAGAGGCCCAAGACCGCTTCAAGACGGCTCCAAGAGGCCAAAGAGCTCCCCCAGGAGGCCCCGAAGAGGCCGACATCCTTGCAAAACCTCAGGAACATCAATGTTTTGGGCTTTCTCGCCTTTTTGCTTCCGATGGTCATCCGAGGCTTCAAGGTGACTCCAAGATGGCCCAAGAGCGCTCCCAAGAGCGCTCCCAAAGCTCCCAAGAGCGCTTCAAGAGGGCCCCAAGAGGCGCCCAGGAGGCCCCAGGAGGCCCCAACAAGGGCCCCAGAGGCCTCCACGAGGCCCCCAAGAGACCCCCAAGAGGCCCCAAGAAGCTCTCCGAGGCACCCAAGACGCTCTAAGAGGTGCCTGGGACCGCCAAGAGGTCCCCAAGACGCTCCAAGAGGCCTCCACTGGGGGACCCTTCCTCTGTGTGCTGCCCACTTCCCGGATCGAGGCACTTCATCTGGGCATCGTTTCTGGATGGGCTGGTGGGGTTTTTTTGATCTGCGGTTCCAAGGACGATTCCAGAGAGCGGGTCGTAGCTGGTGGGGTTACGCGAAGCGTCTAGAATTGCTCCTCCTGGGTCCGTAGACGAAGGCTGTTTCAGGCAGGCCGCAACTGCAGATCAGGAACGTCGTCGACGATGTCGACCTGCAGGCCGTTCGGCCGTGCTCCGTGGTCGTGAACCAGCTGCCGTCGGCGGTCGAGAGCCTGTTTCAGTCTTTCCGCGAGCTTGCGCTCCCCGTGCACCTGAAGAAGTGCAAGTAACTCGCCTGGTCCTCGGACCTCGCCGCCTCCCCAGTGGACAGATGGATCCTTCCCTCTTACTGCAAGGTCGGCACCGCCAGGAACCCAGGGACCGACGCGAATCTTCGGGGCTACAGGGGGGCGGGCATCACGAGAGCTCGACGGGTGAAGCGATCATTGAGGCTTCGAGACGCAGGGGCCGAGACGAAGTAGACTCAAAGGGGCGGTCCTACTGCGTCGTCGTTGCGGGGCGCATGCGTCGCGGGGGCCCCGCCGACGGAGCTCCACCACACGAGGGCCCGGACGCGCGGGAGTCTCGGGAGGCCCCCGAGGGGGGCCTCGGTCGGGCTCCGCATGCCCTCGTTCAGGGACGGCGCCAGGGCGGACCCGCGGGCGACATCGGTGGGCCCCGCGGTGCACCGGCGGGCCTCGGCGATCTGGGAAGGGGACCCCATGCCCAACATCCTGATCCAGGCGCTGGAGGCGGCTGTAGCTCGGAGCGAGGCCTCCTCGAAGCCAGGGTCGGAGCCGCCTCTCCAGCCGACGTTTTTTGCCCTCGCGCTCCAGGGAACAGGTTGGAAGCCGCTGCCCGCGCAAGCGTCGCTTTCGGACCCGGGGCACGAGATCGACGTGCTTCGGCCGGGGCCCGCCTGCGCCAGGAAGGAGGCGGCGGCGGCTGCGGGCCGCGCGTCTGACAGGAGAGCGCCGGAGGCGGTCTCTCCCCCCAGGGGTGCCCCCTGCTTCTGGGCCGCGCATGGCCGCCTTTTTGTTCCAGGAAGGCCTCGGCCTGGACCGCCAGCCGCTCGGTTTTCTCCGGGCCCGGGTGGCCCCGGGCCCTGCTGCGCCAACGCAGCCCGGCCAGCAGCCCCGCCCGCGCCCTGCGCGGTCACCCAGATGACTCGATCTGGCATAGGCGTCACGAGTGCGATTCCCTATCCAGTAAACGTAGGGACCTGGTTTCGGTAGGACACAGCAGGCGCGCCCGTCGAGCCAAGGACCTCAGGCTCGAGTCCGGGGAGCTTCTTGCGCGAGGGACGTTTCCGAGTCCTTCGGCGGTGTTTCGGCTTCGGGCCCCTGAGCAAACGGTCCACTGGCACCGCCGCCCTGCCAGCGGGCACATGACGGGGCTCCTCTTTACGGATGGTTCGTGTCTCTGGGCCAGCGTGCCTGAGTTGGCGAGGGCTGGCTGGGCTGTCGTTATGCGCGGCCCCGCGGGGCAGGTCCTGGCCGCTGCCCACGGGCCCGCCCCCCTCGATGCCGCTCCGCGCCAGACGGCGAGGGACGGGGGGGATTTTGCCGTGCACATGTTGACTCAGGAAGCGTTGCCCCCGTTTGACGTTTACAGCGATTGTAAGGGCACGGTCCAGTCGCTGTGCAAGGGTCCTGGGGCTGGAGCTGGGACCGACTGCACCAGGGCCCATGAGTTGGGCCCCTTCTGGGCGCCTTTTCGTGCAACGATTTGGTGGCCTACAAAACTAAGGCCCACTGTAGAATAA